GAGGGGGCAGCTGTGCTGATGCTCCCTGGGCTCCAAGCCCTGGCTCCTTCAGCTTCCTGGGCTCTGCCCTGGGAAAGGGACTGAATAACAGGAATCCTGGAATTCTCAAGGCCAGGTGCTGGGGAGGCCCAGGCCCAGGTGAGGGGAGCTGGAGTTAGAGGGATTTGGAGCCAGGCCCCGGGGTTGGGCATTACCTGGCAGAGGGACTGGTCTCTCCGGAAGCTGCGGTGTCTGGGCCCAACCCATCTGCAGGAAAGGAGCAGGGGGAGGGAGGTGAGTCCACCATGACTGCTCCCTGCACGCCCTCCAGGAGAGCCCCTGCAGCAGCCTGTGGGCTCCTGGCTCTCACTCACCTGGGCTGAGGCCTTGACCCTCCTCCGTGGGGCTCTCGGGCCATTCCTCGGGGGAGCTGGGACTCACTCCTGCCCCTTCCTCCGACGCTCTCTCCACACCCTGATCCTGCTCTTCATGGGGACCACCTGACTCCTGGAACCAACATGGTCTGGGTGAGCTCACAGTCACACAAGCGCTTGCCCAGGGCTTTGTGAGGCCTGCAGAAAGATCTGCAAGGCAGCCTGGGACACGGCGCAGCAGCCCCCACCCCAGGCTCTTGATATCCATGGGAGGAAGACTGGACTTTCCCCAGGAAATAAAGCACAGGGGCCTTGCTTCCCTGGGGGCAGGGGACTCCTGAACTTTGTGGGGCCCCTCCCTCCTCTCCTCTGCCTCACTCACCTCCTCCTCCCTCGTGTCACTCTCTTGTGGCTCAGCCTGGGCCTCATCTGCCAGAGCAGCCTTCTTCTCAGAGTCCGATGTGGCCTCTGGGGCTTTCACCTGGGCTTCAACCTTGGGCTCCTCCGTCTTGGTGCTCTCCTCCTGAGAGGCTGCCGTGGCCTCCTGCTCCCCATCAGCCTCCCTGGACCCGGCCCCGGCCTCCTGCTCCGCAGCGCCCTGCTCCAGCTCAGCCTTGGCCGGGTCCTCGACGTCAGCTTTCTCCCCACATTCGGGCTCGGCCGCTTTCCCCTCAGCCTTCTGCTTCTCAGTGGCCAACACTGTCTCCTGCTTTCCCTCGGCCTCCTTGGGTTCAGAGTTGGTCTCTCCTTTCCCACCTGTCATCTCCTGAGGAGCCTCTTTGGTCTCTTCCTTCCCACCGTCCTCCTTTGGAAGTTCAGCCTCCACTTTGGACTCCACCTTGACCTCATCCAACCCATTGGCTTCCCCCTGGAATTCTGCCGAAGCACCTCCCTCAGCTGGAGCTCTTTCCTGCTTCCCTGCCCCCTCC